CTATGAAGTTGTTTGATATATTCAACAGGATCAGTTACATTTGATGTGTCAGAAAACTCGCCATTTTTCCATTTTAAAGAGTACAGCATTTTTAATCACTTCATAACCTTAACCTGTATGTATGTAAGATAAAAATACATAATTTAAAATACTAGCATTAATTTGCAGTTGTCCCTTAACTATCCTTTTTGAGTTGTTACACTTAATTCTGTCCTAGAAATAGCAACTTATAGTAAATATATTTAAGCTGCATAATTTCAAAATTACTTCTCACATTATTCTTACATAATACTAATTATGCAGATCCTTGCTTAATATTTCAACAATTTTAAAATTTTTGAATTAACCAAAAGGAATAAAGTTAAACCAAAACCAAATTATTCTGAACTGGGTTTTTAACTTAGAAATGTCACTTTTGCTCTCTGCTTCTGTGCCTTACCTTTTTGCTGTTTCCAATTTTAGTAATAATGGTGTGCAAAGTATCTCGTATCATTTTTAAACTCTACTCAAAGAACAAAGCTTCCTTTAAGCTAGCATTAGCTTTTAATCATAATTTTCCTGCTTAATGCAAGTTCTGACTAATTGTGTATGAAGCTTAATGATTATAATTAATATTATAATGTGTTATTTTTTAACATTCCCCCTACTTTGAATGTTGTGTTATGTTCGTAAAATTTTTTTTTTACCTCTTCCTCTAAGTTAACTCAAATATGAGAATTAAAATACATTGTTGACATCTAAATTACGTAGGAGACTGGGCTTCAACCAAATATACCATAATTAGTGGCTTTAAGCTCTGACATACAGCCTGTGCCTGCTTCAATCTGATCTTGGGAAGTGGCCTTCTCAGAAAACATTGTATTATCTGGAGTATCTGTATTACATTTGAATTCAGAAAATGACTAATCTGCTACATTACTTTTCTATACTGACACTTTTGAACCTGTGTTGAGTGTGCTTTACCCTACCTTCCTGAGTCAAGTACAGATCTCCATCAGTACAGTAAGTGAATGCTGGAGAGAGGAAGTTATATTAGTAAACTGATGAAATCCAACTTGGCCTGTAATTTGTTTTTATTAGTATACATCACTCATCATTCAATAAGGTTACAAGATTTATTGCAATTGAAGGGAACACTTTTAACGTGCTGTGAAGTTTTCTGCTGTTCTGTGAATGCAGTCAGCTTGGTTGATACATTTTCCAGTTTGATGTAGTCTGATTTAATTTACCAAATAAATATTTGCTTATAGCAGCCTCACTAAAGAAAGAAAACATGTAATGTAAAAGCAGATAATAACAAAAACTTTGATAATAAATATAAACATAATTTAATTTTGTTATTAAAATTATTAAGACAGGTTCTCAACCAGGAGGGAATTCAGTCAGCATTTTATTTAGTTGTTAAGTATTTAGTTTATGAATATAAAAAACTACCTTTATTCAACTTTTGGTATTTATCAATATTTTATGTACTTTTTGTTGTTTAGTTTGTACAGCTCATTAAAGTAATCTTTATCTAAATTAATGTACATATGTATCTTTTGAGTTTTGGAAGAGGAGGAGGAATGAGCTTCTAGCGACAGTCAAGTTGTGCATAGGGTGAAAAGGGTTGAGAACCACTCATTTAAAGTAGAGAGTGCACATCTAAAATGAAGAAAATAATTTCCTAAATAAGCATCTGGCATATAATAGTATTAAGAATGCCGAAAAGTTAGGATGCCGAAAATTTTATAGCTGTCAGAATTTCAATAAAAGGATCTTTTGTGCCAAACTTTTTCATTACCTGAATTCTGCTGAATAGCTGTCTAAATGTTGTAGTTCTTTATTTTGTTGAACTCTGCATTGTTTCAGAATTACTCCCAGAATTGTGCTTCATATCGTGAAGATGCCATGTTCTTGGGAGAGTAGAATAACTTTTTCTTGTTGTGGTAAATCCTAAGTATGCAGTTTACTTCAGGAATTCTGTAGAGCTCACTTAAACCCTAATCTTTAAAATATTTCAACTTTAAAACAATTTTTTATTCACTATCACTTTTGATAAATAATAATCTCTTAAGTCTCGTGGAAAAAATATAAGATTTAATGGAAGATAAAGAAAATAAATTATTCTTTTGATCATTATATGTCAACATTTGCTGTGCTTAGTGATTAAAAATGTTTTATGATAATGGAAAATTATCTCAAATTTCTGCAGTCTCCACTAAGCTTAAATCTATTATCCTGAAGTTTTAATTGCCATTGTTTTAAGCAGTTTCTTCATAGTTCTTGACTGTCCTGATTTTTTACCACAACTCCTTGTAGATCACCAAATCTGCTGGTTATTAATTGTTAGCCTTATGATGGATTATAGAACTTTAAATGAATAGTCAACTAATAACCATTAACTGATTAACAGTTAGTACTTTTAATATTTTTTATGCCATGGTCATATTTAAATAGTTAAGTAACCTGAACGAGGCATTATGTAGCTAAAATAAGTCAATTTGGGCTTTGAAACAGTGCCATCTCGCTGCATGAAAACCTCTGGGAAACTTCCAATTTTTCACATTTCAAAGTTGGCAGATACTGCATATTTGTTTTCTGTTAGTAGAAAAACTCTATGATTCATTGATTAACAAAGGATCTGTATGTGATAATTTTTTTGTTTTTAAGAACTGATTGCTTTCATTTGAAAGCTGACTACTTGAAAGTTTAATCGCAATTTTGCAACTTCTGTGAAGATTTTTAAGTTCTTAATGCTGGAAACTGGATGTGATGCTTATTGTCGGTTGCATAAATTGAAGGAATTATTCAGTACTTTATATTTTTTAGGTAATAGCACTGAGTAGATATGAATTAGGAGTTTTCTGACTTCAGAAGTTCTGAGGAATTTTGGCCCCAACACGATATCTTTAAGAGATTAGTATTTATTGAGCAAATAGATTTTATGTTCAGTGTTGTATAATAAAAACAGCTCTCTCTTGTGCTGCCTGATTTGGCGGAAATTGTGCATGGTTGTAGGGGACCTTAAGGTGAATATATGAAAGTGCAGCATTCATCTTTCAGAACGAAGTTCTGAGCAACAGTATTAAATTTCATCTTGATGGTGCAGTAGCTAACACGTTGGTGCTGCAGAAAAAGTGTCCTTCATACCAGCATTTCTTTTCTGTAAATAGTTTTACATTGCTTAAATAATGGTTTTGTAGTATTTTTATTGTATATCATAAATAAAATTCTTAGCATCTAAAATGTTTGGCATGGGCACTGCATTGAATCTTCTGTTTCATATCAGGATCTCTTATTTTCATTTTAATAATGCAAATTAATCATTTAATGATTTTATTTTTCCCTATAAAGAAATCTTTCTTAGTAGTTTGTGGTACGGTATTGATAATTGTACTTGTATAAGTCTATTTTACTAAAGGACCCTTTACTAAATCCATTAACTGTTGGATTTTGTGTTGGCGAGTTAGTAATCTTATTTGGTAGTAGAAACACTTGAGTTTTATGATGAAATAATGATTTAGGTTTACACCTGTTCTAAATATAATAATAAGCAGTTTGATGTATTTCTTTTTTTATTTTTTTGCTACAACACTTTTTGGTAGCCTCAGAAAATTTATTCATTAAATCATGCTTGAATTTTTAGTAGCATGAACTCTTGTGTATATAGTATGTTTATATAAATTATTATGCCATTTTATACCAGTTATTATGGTATAAAAATATTATTTACTGTAAAGGCAACATGTTAGAGTAACAATTCTTATTTCGAATCCAGTTTAATATTTTAAAAGTAGTTTCATATGCATTTTCAATTCCTGCAACATCATCATAACTGTGAAAGAATATATTTAGTGTCATGTTAGTTAAATGGAGAAATGATTGAAATAGGTGTTCTTTTGAATCTATAAAATACAAATTACTTATATACTTTAATATGAAAGAAAGTTGTTCAGAATTTGCTGAATGAATAAGAAATGATGCATATTTTCTCAAGTCTACCAAAAATCAAAGCAAATATAATTTACTTTAATTAAAAATATTTTTAAAGTTTTTCTGCATGTTTGAATTAACATGTTTATGAATTAACATTCTGCATGTTTGAATTGATTTTAATCATGCATCTTTTTTGTCTAATGAGTCAATAATATTGTTGCCTAAATTACTAAACTAAAACACTTTTTATTTGTTTTTAAATTCAGTAATAATAAAAAAGAAATTAACATAAATATATTTTGTTGTGTCCTTTATTGCAACTCGGCAGAGTTGGCATCCGTACTTGAGGTAGTGTTGTACCCTTATTGTAGGAAATGATTCTTGTCAGATGATGCTTGTCATGTTCACCTGATTCTTTTCATGGCTACAGTGTTGTCATAAGTAAAAAAAAAAAGTTTTGTGGAATTCTTAAGGTCGCATTACATTCTTAAAAGGTCATTTGTGAAAAACTTAAATTTCACATCTACTTTTGAAATGCTGTTATCCATCTCACAAGCTCGTAATTATTAGATAACATCAAATACGTCTTAAATTGTAAAAATTTGCTATTCTGAGAGTTGAAGCAGCTCTTGAAACTTCTGCGGGTGTGTGTATTAACATAATGGCAAGTGATTGGTTTGGCCTTTTTTGATTATGACAAAGCATTCAAGGGCTATCTGCCTAAGGAGAGGAATGCCTATGTGGAGGACTTTCTAAGAGAAACTGCCTCGTATACACATTACACATTGGGAAAACTATAAAAACGCCCACGCAGCCAGTCTGTTCGTGGGATGTGAACCTCAGAGTGAACTACCAGTGTTCAGCGACTTTACAGCTCGGCCATTAGTTGACAATGGCAAATGAAACTGATTTGCAGGGTGGGCATTATTGCTCTCCCTGCACATCATTGTACTCTGTATGAGCTCATTAGTATGATTTTTTGGGCTTCAAAGTATAAATATATAATTTTAAGTAAGTAAAAGTTGATATTTATGCTTGTGTTATATTTATAAAATAAGAAATTGTATTTTTTTAAATTTTAGGAAAAGAAGAAGAAAAGAGCTGAAAGATTTGGGTTGTCATGAAAAGCTTTCCCTCCGTCTTTTATTTTCTACTATATATGTATATATTTTCTGAAATATACACCTGTTTATGATGTGTCAAATTGCATGTAAAATTTGTGAGTTTTTATAGCAAATGCAGTATTAAAGTTTTGCTCTATACAATTTTTTCACAAATATGTTTTTAACATTTCTTGTGAATTTACTCCTTTCTTAAAAACACATAATTAAAGGTAATTTAAACAAACAATAGAATGGAACAACATTATTTACCTACCTTTTTTTCCAATTGTACCATGTTTCTGTCAAATTGTAGAGTTCCGCACTTTGTAAATGCTAAGTTACAGTTGAACGTGAAGAATCATAAGAACTGATAAGCGGATAATTGCTTGAGTTCGTGTAACAAGAAACAACAAGATGAAGGGTAAATAACCCTGTATTATTCAGATAAGATTTAAGAGAACTCCGTCTTGGAGTGTACAATAAAAGCTGACACTTGGGCTTGAACTTAAGAGGCTAAGAAGTAAACTAAAACTAATATAAACTAAAGAGATATAGCCGAAGCTATCAAGATTCTAACCGAGTTGGCCCCTTAACGCTAATTGACTGCGAAGTTATGAAGGGCCTAAGTACAGCCAAGTGTAATAATAGCTTACAAGAGAGAAGCCTAAAAAGGCGGATGCGTGCAGACAGGATACCTGGTAACTCTCTCGCCCAGACCGAAGAACTTTATGGTTTAAATACCACTCTTCCTCATTATGTATTCAGACGTGAATCTAAAACTACATTCTGGCCCGAAGTTGTAAGTTAAGAATTTGACAGGAAAGAAGTTTAAGTCAAAATTTAACTGTTCATAAAATTAACATAATCCTTACAAGATATTTGAATATCAAGGAGCAGGCACAGGTCTTTTAATTAAGAATTGGTACTGAAAAATGGAGGAAAGTTTACTATTCATGATATAGTTTAAATCGGCAAATATACGAAATGTAAGGAAGCATTTTTTTTTATAATACATGATTTACACTGGATGATTTTATGCAAATGAATTGCTATGTTTATTATTTGGGTGCTATGAAGAGAAGTAATCTGAAGTCTGATAAATATAAGGATAGTTATTGTTACTGGCCAGTCTGTCTCACTACTGTAACTGGCGGAGAATATGTTGATAGCACTCTTCTGTTCTCCCAGTGCGTTTTCGTGGTGCACAAATCCATCACCTTGATTTTGCTTTTTACCTGTTGTACTTTTTTCAACATTGGGGACCTGAAATGCTTCTATTTCAACAACTGAACGTTTTTGCTACGTTGTGCCCGTACAGACTCATCTCCAGTTATCATTTTGTTCAGTAAGTCGGAATCGATGCTGGTAGTGTCCAACAGCTCTTGTGTAACCTCAAGACTGAGTTTTTTTCTATTTTGCTGACAGCAGCTTGAGCACAAATTTCTTAGCTATTCTGCACCTATTCAAATTAGGTTGCCAAATTGCATGTGCAGAATCGTAACTGATCCCAACATCATTGGCAATTTCTCATACAGCCAAATGGTGATCTTCCTGTAGCAGATTCCCCTACCTCTCAGCAACAGCAGCATTCCAAGTGGGTTGTGGTTCTCCAGTGATGAGTGAACATTTTTAATCGGTATTTTGACCCATAGCATTATTTCCTAACGCCTGGGGAATCTTGTGAATTGCTTTGCTTTAAGAGTCGCCAAGCTTTTGACAAACTTTGTAGCAGCATTTTTGCTCAACTCGTTCAGTCATTTTGAGAGAAATCAAAAAATCTAACGAACATGTATCCTCGGTGCAAGCAAGCGCTGAGTGGCACATCTGAATGCTGAGAAAAAATTTAAATATACATATTAAGCTGGCTTTTTCCACTGTGTACAGTGGTACCACCCAAGTATCATTACTTTAGGTGGAAAAATTCAAAGTCAGGTACTTTTTAGACAGATTTTGTATTCTAGTACACAATAGATTTTTAAATTGCTTAATGTAGCAGTGTAGTAAAGTACAGAATATTTAATGCCGATAATATCTTGCATGATTATATATGTGACAAAAACATCCTGTTTTTTATTGGTGATTATTATCTGTGGTTTCACATAACCATGGTAAATTTTGGATGCAAATAAGAGGGCCTTTGCTGTGTGGTTTGATTACATCACTCTTCTGCTGTTGAACATCTTTTGGGCTCAAAAACTGGATTCTTCTAGATTTTAGATATATTTTGAAATGTTCTTTGAATTATTTATCTCAATAACAAAGAAAGTGAATAGAAATGAAGAGCTACACTTTTTGTCACCCTGGAATTATGCTTCATATTGATGAGAACAGCTTTTAAAGAAGAAAAGTATTAGAGGTAAATTCTGTACATACTTTCAGAAATATCTGTATTTGGGTAATAAAAAATATTTAGTGGATACAGTTATCAATTAAAGATTTAGTTATGATTAAAAAAATCAGGTACGAATTTATTCTTGGCTTAAAAACATCATTCTTTTACTTTCTGTGTGTATTTTTAATAACAGTGAAAGCTTGGTTTACAAATGTCATTGGTTCCTGAAAGCTATTTGTCATCTGACGTGCTCAAAAACTGAAACTTTTTCTTCCGTGGAAATTAATGTAATATGGAGCTCACAGATGAATGCTTACGTAAATTTTACAGTGGTACATTTTATAAAAGCTAGTAACTCATAATCAATCAAAATCATTAAATTTAAGACAGAACGACAAATACAATGGTTAAATAGATGAAAATTTAAGTTTACAATACCTGTACTGAGAAGGAGAAGAGATACTAGTGTTTAGATGGAGTGCGATTGTATAAAAACATCAGATGACTCTTTTTGAGGTATCTGTGACTTAATGTCACTCAACTCAGCTTCAGACTCGCTGGATCTTCATTTTACTCAAAAGTTGTCTTGTGTGATTTGTATCTGTTAGGTTTTAAAATTTTTCTAAATAACACTGTCATTGAACGTACTTATAGTCTAGCTACTGCATTATTAAGAAAATGTTGTTACATATAAACTTTGCATCTTACTCTTTTTTAGAAATTTCACTGATTAAAGAAATAAGATCAGAGCCTTTTCTTCCAAGACATTATCCATTCTTGCTATTGCAATTTTTCTTATGGCCCTAGTGTATCCCCTGTACATATTCTATTGCAAGATAAATAACTTCGGAGGTACCTTTGGACCAAAAATGTTTATTCATATGTAGGAAAAGAAATAATTCAATGTAAAAAGGTTTGATGCATGACAGCATTTATAGCTAATAAGCATTTTAGTAATATACTGTGCAGTTCACATAACTATAGCCTAACTACACTGGTGTGCAAAAATTAAGGACGAAGTCGAAAAATTAGCATATCACCTGAACGAAGAGGCAGAGTGGACAGAAAGACCAGTCAGGAGATTAAGTAAGGTGATGTACGGTAGCACATGTGCAGATATGCAGGTAGACGTAATGTCTGAGTAGTATAAAGCATGTTGTCGGTGTAAGATCAGTATTTCTGGCAAAGAGATTGCACGCCGTATAGCAGTTAAAATCACACCGAGTTGCTGCCTCAGCGAGAAATGGCGAATAATCAATCTGTTAGACGACATCTGGTTGCTTTACCCGAGGTCGAATCATTGGGAAGTTGGAGGAAGGCCGCAGTGTGACGAGTGTGGCTGCAGAGTTCGGAATTGCTCACAGCATCGTTTCACGACTTTGGAGACAATTTCAAACTACAGTAACAGCTATCCGGGGTTTAGTAGTGGTCGTCCACGAGGAGCCACACCCGCAGATGACCGGTATATTGCCTTACAGACCAGAAGAAACAGGCGGCAGACAGCGGGAGAAATCGCTATACACAGGCGACTGGACGACCGATATCGCGTTTTACCGTGGCCAGAAGACTGCACGGTGGTGGTCTGTTTGCACGACATCCTGTACGGTGTGTACCTCTAACGCCTGCCCATTGTAGAAGGCGTTCTCTGTGGTGCCGGGAACACCGGAATTGGACAGACAATGAATGGGGACGAGTACTCTTTACAGATGAGAGCAGATTCAGTCTGAGTAGCAATTCTCATCGCATACTCATCTGGAGAGAGCGGGGAAGCCGCAATCATCCCTCGAACATCATTGAAAGGGACAGGTATGGAGGTGGCGGTGTTCTCGTTTGGGGAGGCGTCATGCTTGGTAGTCGTATAGACCTTCACATCTTCGACGCAGGTTCAGTCAACGCGACCCGTTATTGTAATGAGATTCTTCTTCCATATGTGCGTGTCTTTGTAGAGGCACTATGGGTCCGCAGTTCCTTTTCATGGATGACAATGCACCATGTCATCACACAGTAGCTGCCGAACAGCTCTTAGAGAGTGAGGATATTGAACGTATGGATTGGCCGGCACGATCTCTGGATCTAGGCAGACGATGGGATTTTCTAGGCAGACGCTTGGCAGCTTGTACCTTACCACCAGTAATGATTCCGGAGCTTCGATTGCCACTGCAAGATGAATGGGCAGCAATGCCTCAACAACTCATTGACATCCTGATTCTCAGCATGGGCAGACGCTGTGAAACCTGCCTAGCAGTCAGGGGAGATCATATCCCCTATTAAAGGCCGGATGTTTCTTGCTGGACACCCATCACAGGGATGTTTCGGCCTTCAGTTGCATTGCGCTCCATGCTACTTTTTCAATAAAGCTTCTTTTTATTCCTCTGATTTCTCTTTTAGTAAGTGTTGCTTACATTACTCATTTCCTTACGTATTGGGGATCTTACGGTATTAAATGTGTTGATTTGGAAAGCTTTTGTACAAAGTTATATTGAAAAAACTGTCTCGTCCTTAATTTTTGCACACCAGTGTAGCTATGCGACTAGACAGTCTACAAAATCGCTACGTGATTAAATGCATCCCGATTTATACATGCCTAACTCACTAAATGTACCAGTCAGTACTGGTTAATATTATGGACATGGATTGAGATATGCATGATTTATTTATAATTTTAAAAATTAAATCATATTATTAACATAGAAAATACTGAGAATGCCATTATATCTGCAACATATTAATTTTTATGTTTTAAATTCATCGTTTAGCTAGAGTCATCTAGTAGGCAACAAAAAATACCAATGTGTCAGAACCCCACAAGTCAACCTTCAACGCAACCTATTCGTGATTTCCT